CATAGTTGATTATTTACATGTTGATAGTGAACTTATTACCCTTCACGAATTGGTGCAAGCCAACATTGCTTTACCTTCCTTGATAATACTTCCTATGTAATATATTATATCTTCTCGTGTATGCTCTACTCCTTCAGCAACAATTGGACACAAAAATCCATATCTATCATCAATTCCTCTAAACAAGCGTAGCAAAACCTATGAAATTGCATGCTAACATGTGAGTTGTATGAGAGAGCTAAAAGCATATATATATATGTTGGCTTAGAAATGAAAAATGAAGTTACGTACATGAGAAAGAGTTGGATAAAGGTTATGCCCAGCTCTTGCATGCTTAGGAGTTCCTTGACATCTTGCTCCGTAATATAGAAATCATATTCCTGTTGAGAACCCACATTTCCCTTACTCATAGGAATTGGAATTGGGCGAGTAGTGAAAAGTACTCTACATGCTACAGATGGTAGTCTTGACGAGGCAATGTCCCTAACAATATGCGAGTGTGTAATGTTGTTGCTCATTTTGGGAAGGGAAGAAAGGGTTTTTCGTAGCAATGTGGCCTTCCATGGCACATCCTACAATATAATATTAAGGTTGCCATCAGTTAAAGCAAAGTACGTTGGTAAGCAGTAAAGCCAATTGCAAACATTATATTGTTAATTTTATTTCATATACCTCCTACCTAAGTTACTATCCATAGTTCTTAATATAAAAGCTAATTTAACATTCAATTTGATCCTAAATATAAGACTCTAACCCACTTTACTTTTCATATTTATCTATTTTTCTTCAAGATAATTCTTTTAGTAGTTGCATATGTAGAAGGTTTTATCAAATGGTTGTTTTAGCTAATACACATTATTAGTAAGAATATCTAGAAAAGACAACATTTATTTATAATAATAATTAACCTAACTAATTTATTTAATCTACTTAAATTAATTAACTAGCTCTTATATTAAAGATTGGTTATTAATCATCCCCAAAATCTTGTACACTATAATGCTGCCCTACAATGCCACATGCATGCACGAGTGACAGAGTCATTATGACGATTAGCATTGGCAGAATGCGTTATTTGCATTGTTTTCATGCTGCTTCTTCCAACAATTTTCGTTTTGTTTTTGGGGGCATCTTAATTGTATCGCAATCAAAATCTAAACATAAAAACACAATTCACTAGCTAGAAGTGAAATGCTATATATGGCTTGATGTTGAACAAATCCCAAAATCATGAACTCGCTATGTCATATGTAAGTGAAAAGAAAAAAGGATACTTCTTAATAATAATAATAATAATAATAATAATAATAATAATAATAATAATAATAATAATAATAATAATAATAATAATAAAAAAAAAAAAAAAGATTAACACGCCTCTTCGTTCATTCATATCTATTCATACATGTGTAATGATCCTGTTGAATTTTTTAGAATTTGCATGCATATAATTGAATTGCATTAATTAAAAAGGAATGGCGATTACACTATACCTTGGTCATCCAACAAAATATGTGAACTTTGGGAAGGATCAGTGAATAATTCAACTCTGATTACATAGATTCCGCTCTCTTTTACAGTACCTCCGTACTCTGATTGTGAACAAATCTTTACATGGTTCCATTGATGTTCTTCAAATTCTTCATTTATTCCGAAATTCCACATATAGTGCGTAATTATATGCTCCACATCATATCCTGTAGTCATTAGCCACAAGTTACACTTAGATGCCACTTCATTATTTTTGAACACTACTGTTAACCAAGAATTATTTCCCTTTGGTTGAACAATAGCACAAATACAAAGAGATGGGAGGTGGTGGTCACGAAACCAAAAAGAAATGGATGGTCCTTTGCTACAGTGATCGAACCATTCTGGGATGCTTCCCCCTGGGACACAAAGATATGCTTGATAGAACCTAAAAAGAAGTTGATAGTTGGTGGGTATTACAGATGCAAGTAATTCCTGTGAGTCAAAAAGAAATGAAATCGTGTGTGTGTGTGTGTGTGTGTGTGTGTGTGTGTGTGTTGTGTGTGTGTGGTGTGTGTGTAACTCTTTGGATGTGAATATCAGGAAACAGGAGATAGAAATTGACCTTACCCAACAACAACTTTTTGGACTCTATACTCAATGACACACAAGCTGCTGCCGTCAACTGTTTTATGCTAGGTGGAACCTTTTCCACTTCTATTAGATGCTGGCATTTATCTAGCTTAAGTTGAATCAAATTTTGACAATCTTCTATGCATGCGGGCAAAATTGTGAAATCACTACCTGTCAAGTCCAAAATATGAACATTGGAGAATGAAGAAAGATAAATCTTAAGGTTCTCATTGGATATGTTGCATATTGTTAGCCCGAGATATCTTATCTTTGGACATATTATTGACTCCACTTCCATAAGCAACTCTTCGCATCCTTGAATATCTATAAGTCCAAGATTTGGCAACAAAAAAGTGCTACTTGGTAGCCTCAATGACCTGATTCCCTTGCCCGTAGCGTCATTTCTGATCCGTATCGTACTAAGTTGAGTAAGATTTTCAACTGATGGAGGCAATTGATCTATACCAGTTCCAACCAAAGACAACTGTGGTATTTCTATTTCCCTAGTCATTATATCTGGGAAGTATTTCAGATTCGAGCAATTCACGAGACCCAACAAGTGGAGTGATGGTGTATTCATTTCACTTGGAAAAGTCATAAGTTGGACGCAGTCACATACATATAAGGTTTCAAGTTTGGCTGATTGTCCAACTGAATTATCAATTTCCATCAAGTTTTTGCAATCACGAAGCTGTAACTCCTTTAAACTTGAGAGGCCAGATAAATCAGGTATGCGCCTAATATACTGGCACCCTTCGAAGTTCAAAACAGTCATATTGGTATTCCGCATTATCTGCAATAATCAAAACCATTCAAAAAGTCTAATTAAACAAATGATCAAATACAACCTAGCAAACTAAAATAAATACACATATATAGCTTGCCTTACTAATTGTTTCCATTGAATTGAAACAACTATCTCTCACATCGAATTCAATAATATCCATGGGACGAAAACCGCGTGGCAATCTTGATGAAGGATATCCTCTCCATCTCAATACTGCTAAACTATTAGGGAGATATTTGGGGCCTTGCGAAAATTTTGTATTCTCAAGAATAAGAATTTTGAGACTGTTCATACTCTCGAAGGCTTTGCCATTCCAATCTATTTTTATGCATTCAGACCCTTCAACTTGAATTATGATAACAACTTCATTTGTGCCCTTTTAAACCAAACATGAAAGAAAATAAAATTAGTAGTTTGATATATGTATTAATAGTAAATGGGGAAAAAATCACATATTCGAAGCTACTGAAACGTTAAAGGTGCTCATGCTATAGTTATATGAATTAAAAAAAAATATTGATAAACATATCATAAAACAAAACGATGAAAAAATGTTTTCCTAATCGAAATCAACACCACCCGATTAACAGCAGATTGCAAACGACGCAATGCAAATTGATCTAGCCATGGAATATAATATTGATTAAGTCTTTTTTATAGTATATTAAAATATTCTTCTTGTCTATATACCAGTCATTGAGTTTAAGTATATGCATTCAGTGCTTTAAAATTAATGTAAGGGGCAAACACCCTATTTCCTCCTAACAGGATTCTATGAACAAATACAAGGGTAAGATAAAGGATATCCGAATAATCATTTCACACTTTAAAATTGCTAAAAGATATTTGGAAGATTTCTCCAAAAAAAAAAAATTAAGGAATGTTGAGAATTTTCATAATCTTAAGGGCTTCCTCCATCACAATATATTTTAGGAAAAAACTTAGATATTTAAAGTTGTTTAGTTTATCTCATTAATTAAAACAAGTAGTTTTACAAATTTTGAATTGACAGTTTTGATTACAAAATTAATAAAACAATTCTTTTCAACTTGATTGGACAAAAATATCATAAATATTTTACTTTATGGATTCTGAAAAATTGTCTTCCCATTATGATGCTAACTTCGATTCATTTTCTTCCCCATAAGCCATAAATACAAACGAAAATTTTCAATCATTATAGAAAAGTAGTCATAATGAAGAATGAAGCAGCAACACAGAACCAGCAAACGAATTCTTTAAAAAAACGAATTCATGCATAACTAGTAGCTATACGTCATTTCAATTTTTATTTATTTATTTATTTTGGTTACTCTGAATTAGACCAATTGTCGTATTTTAAAACAATATTTCAGGAATAATTTTTCAGTATAATTTCAATTAGGGTGGGTTTCATCGCATAGATGATAGCATGCGAACAGATACAAACTCCCTATAACTCTTTATCAGTTAGAGTGACGATTGTTTTGCGCTTATGTTTTAGCCAATAAATATTAAATCATAAAGTAAATATTGACAACATAAAATACCATAAAAATAGAGAAAAATCCTAATTCGAAGTCAAAACTAAGCAATAACAAACACAACAAATCAAACTTCAGAAATCAATCTAGTCAAGCCTTGGGTTAGTCTCATTGAAGTTCCTTTCATCCGGCCCCATCGTGTTTTGAATTCTAGCTAATTAAGCATTATCTTTCCATAACATAATCAAATAAATATAAATCTCAACAATTGTAATGCCACCAAGAAATCATGGGGGGAAAATTAAAATTATGAGGCAAACTAAGAGAAAGTAGATAATTCCAATTAAAGTTAGACTTACTTCACTTCTCCCCAAGACACGAAGGATATCCTTACTTGACCATAACCTACTGCGTTTTCCTGGATCTTTTGGTGATTCTTGACAGACAATCTCTTTTCCCATATTTTGTACTAGATCATGTATTTTAATACAATCTTGCATAAAAAAATTTGTCTCGATCTTTAATAGGCATTTGTTTACCAACACTGCAATATGATAATCTGGATCAAAATCATGAACACTTGCCACCATCTTTTTGACAAATTCCAATTCACTCCCTTGGTAGAAGCAAGCAATATCAAGAAAAACTTATTTTTCAAGTTGTTGTAAGCCGTCGTAGCTTACTCTTAATATTTGCTGAATCTTATCATGAGGGATTCTTTTACATCCATCTAACATAGATTCCCACTCCCTTAACTTCTTACCATACAAGTCAGCGCCTATTAATTCAAGGGCTAAGGGAAGACCGTTGACATAACTTATCACTTGATTCACAACTTCCCGATATCTTGGATCATCAACTTGCATACTTTTAAAGGCCTTCCAACTTAACAATTCAAGAGATTCTTCATAATTTAATCCCTCCATCTCATATATTCTTCCAACCCCATGACTCTTGAGTAATTGTAAATCCCTTGTTGTTATAATGATCCTACTCCCCAAACCAAACCAATCACATGTCCCAGCTAACTTTTTTAATTGCTTTTGTTCATCCACATTATCAAGAATCAAAAGAACTTTCTTATCTTTGAGTGTTCGTTTTATTAGCTCAACTCCTTGATTAATCTCTTCAATTTCTATTTTCTCCCCTAAAATTTTTGAAAGCATTCTGGCTTGCTCTTGTTCTAGGCCATGTTTTCTAGATCCTCCTCCGATATCATCGAGAAAGCACAAGTAATCAAAATTATCAGCAATGGCATTACACACAGCACGTGCTATTGTTGTTTTACCCATTCCACCGGTTCCATAAATTCCTATCATGATGACCTCATCATTTGACCCAAGTTTCAATAGAGAATTTATTTTTTCCACACGAAAATTCAAACCAACTGGATATTCGGCAACATCAAGGGGGACCCTGCTGATTATCCTAAAGATCTGGTTCACAACATCTTCAACTAGTACATGTTCATAATCTTTCCTGGAAAAGCAAACAGATAAATTTCACTTAATTCTGATTAAATCCGTCCAATTCATTTTTCATATACATGCATAATAATTGTAATAATATCATGCTAATCTAACCATAGGATTTACCAAGGTAAAGTTTTTAATTAGAAGGAAAAAAATTAGAAGTTGGGAATAACCTTGGATCATATGATAAGCCTTTAAGGTTAGCTACTTCACGTAGTGCGTGCTTCCAACTTTTCATCTTTTCTTCATCAGCCTTTGAGTTTTGTTCATGTGTAACTAGTGCTTCTCCATATTTCCTTCTTTGATGTCGTACTTCAGAAGGCTCCACATCATAAAAAATTGGCCAAACTAGTTGACCATTTTCCTTGATACATTGATGGATTTGGACTAGTTCATTTAGGCAAAATGTTGAGGAAGCATACTGCTTAGAAAATACAATAATGGCCATTCTAGATTCCTGAATTGCTTTGAGAAGCGTTGGTGTAATTTCATCTCCTATTCTTATTTCCTTGTCATCAAAGAAGGTGCGAACCCCCTTTCGATTGAGTTCTTTATATAAAGTTCCTGTGAAACCATAACGAGTATCTTCGCCTCTAAAATTGAGGAAGACATCGTAAGTCCATTGGTAATCTATCAAATTTGCTCGCCTTGTCATTATTATAGCTTGCACTGGAAGATGGAAATGAAGATGTGAGAGTAAATTTAGATTGAAAAATTATCAAGTGTGATGATAATACAGACAAACACCATTTAAAAGAGGAAAATGAAGAGGATCTGACTGACTTCATCGTGAAAACAATAAATGTTGCCAATAACTAAGCAAGTAGTATTGTATCCTAAAAGAAGATGGCGCAGACAAAAAAGGAAGATGAAAGTTGCTTGCTTTTTGTCCGTCTCAAACAGAAAATGAAAAGATCGACGACCAGAACAAAGGAATTGGGTTGACTTATATTATGGCTTTCGTTAATATGATTTGTATCATTTGAACTTTATTTTATTCATCATATGATACTGCATGTAGTATTTAAATAGAAAAAGTCTGTCTAATTAAAAATAAAAAAGCTATTTGGTTTCATCAGCTTTCGAAATCGACACAAATTTTAAAAAAATCAAAATACAACAAAAAAAAGAAGGGATAATTTTAGACATTGACTTTTGTTTATACGCCCAGCTAGCTTCGTCAGATCCCTTCAGATGCTGAAGTCAAACATGCAGTTTATTTTCTAATAAAACTATAATATAAAAATAAATAATTATAGTGGATATATCGATAGACGGTAATGGAAGAGCCAAACAAAAAGGAGTAAACATTAACAAACTGTCAATTTAGTAACATGGGATTTCCCATGCGCGTTAGAAATAACAAATGATGGTTCTGATCCACAAACCCCACATAGACCAAATTTTGCATAATACCTAAAGACTGGAGACTCTTGGCAAGGTGACCCACTCATAGTTTTTCTTTGTTCCCAAAGATCCACAGAATCCTGACCCCCTAAGCAATATAATCGTCGAAGCCTATCTAAGACTCACATAGTATGTTTAGGTTCTAAGTAGATGACGCTGTATTCTTGGCTTAATGGTGGGAAACAGGAGTAACACTTAATTCCTTTTCCTGAAGAGATTCAACCCATATGAGATCCATCCCCAACAATTTTGGAGCCGCGCCGTACTAGAATTAACCCAAATAGAACAAGAATGGATCAAGATCTCGGTTTATACATGAGTATTTGGATCCAATTCCTGTGTAAACTCAATCGATTGAAAGATGGAAACAAAACAGTAGTTGCGAAACCCAACACCGATATAGCAAACTCGTATTAGAGTGAAAAGGACAAGAATATGAAAGAAGAGACCGGAATTAATCACCAGATCGGAGGCAGAGGGCGATGAAGCAGAAAAATGCTAGAAAATGTCAAAATACATGGTCTGCGTTAATTACGTTGGATGAGAGTTGTAGAAATCTTTACTCTTCCAGACGTTTTTGCAGCTCTGATTTGTTCGGCGTCTCGTCCTTCGCTCCAGCTAGCGTACCTCAGCCAAAATAGCTAGAAGTCTTCCTTGTTGACTCAAAGTCAAGTATGTTGATTAGTAAAGTAAAAAGCTAAATGGTCAGAGAATTTCTAGGAAGATCCCAGAAGTACAACCGTAACATCACCTTCCTAATCTTTAAAGGCTTAAATTAAACATCCTGATGTTTTGTATTTTGAATTTCAACAACCATACTGTTAAAATTAAAATTACCGTTAAAGTTAATGGTTTTAAATACAACATTTCCCAAATTAATTTAATTTAATCCTAAATATAAAACCCAATTATCATATAATAGTTTCCAATGTAAATGATTACAAGTATATGTCAGTAAACTAATACAAATTTCTTGCAATATAATAGCTCTGACTTTATTAATTTTCTTGATTTCTAAATATTCAGGCACCAATTCAGATTACAGACAAAATCACATGATAAAAGAGGAGGAAAAAAATAAAGCTACCAAAAAATTTCAGTTCCTCACTTCCCAAACCCCACAGTAGCGCGGTGAGAAAGGAGGACCTTGAAATTTCCTCCCTGTTTCGTCTCGTTGAAAATAGATGGAAATGATTTCTTTTCAATTATTCTTCTCCTTTCTTTGCATCTTCTTTTTCTTACAAGACGGGAAAGATGGATGAAGAGAACGAAGCAATTAGTTGACTTATATTATGACTTTTGCCAGTATTATTTGTACGTACTTCTTCACTCCTTCAGTTCTAAATATAAAATTTATTTTGTTGTGTGATTTACAAGTTCATATTATATTTGGCTTGGTCACAATTAACCACTCATTTACGTTATAATTTCTTTCATGCCAACAACAACTTGTGCGCAGAATCAATTTCTTTCTCGTCCATCAATTTTCGAATGTTAATATATTAGCTAAGCTTTCTAACATCAATTTAAACCAAAGGAAATCAACAACAAATTTTAAAATCCGCATTATTTCTCTTGTAATATTTTAAAAAAACATGACAAAAATGCCTGCTCAGATAATCTTCCTCCTTTGATCACTTGGGCAGTTAATTTCACCAAAGTTTCCTCCTATTTCAAGCGTTCATCTTCTCACTTCCCAAACTCCACGACAGCTCAGAATGAAAGAAGGACCCTCAAACTTTCTTCCTACTTTCGTTTCCTTGAAGTAGACGGAAATGATGGAAGGTATCCGATGCTTTATCTTTTCAACTTCCCTTTTCGTTTGTTGCATCTTTTCATTACAAGATGGGCCTTCACAAAGAATGATGGAGAGTGCTTGCTTTTTGTTTTTTGAGTATAAATTCTGTATTTCATTAATAATCGGCAAACATTACAACCAACTAAGCCCTTGGTCAAAATCCAACCCGTAATAAAATTGGAGGTTGATCAAGAATACAAAAAGAGCCTTTAATATGATAGAAAATAAGACAGCCTAAACTTAAGTTTTTTGAAGAAAATCCAGTTTGATAGTGTGAGTATAAAGTAGCATGTCATATTCTAAAAAGATATTTTGCAGTTCATCTAACACCCTGAAATATTTTTCAAGATGCTTCTGGTATCCTGAAAATACTGAAAATATACTTTACGGTACTTGATGCACATTGATATGAACTTTTTTATGAAGTTAACAGCAAGTTTAAAATTCCTCCTCAAAAAAATACTTCCTAAAAAAATTAATACTTTAATGGTAAACTTGCACAACAAAATACTTTATGATGCTAAATGTATTTAGAAAAATATTTCAGAGTGTTAGATAAATAACAAAATATTTTAGAGTATTGGATACACTTAGACAAATAATTCAAGACGCTGGATGCATTTTAATCCAATAATTTTTTCAAGTTTTGTAGTTTTCACAGTGTTTTTTTTTTAAAAAAATTTTCATGTGAATTCAATACGGAGAACTTGGTAGGTTGAAGCAAGACATGTATCAAAGCTTAACAAATATTTTCAGATATATTAACGTATCCCCCATCATCAGTAAAATTCTCATTTTTGATAATAGAGTGAAACAAATATTATAACAACCCCATTGATATCCGTTCAATTACTTATTTTCGAAATATATGATTAAATTTTTAATGGCTACTACAGTAGAAAAGAGTCAACTCAAAAGTTTTATATAATAACTATGATAGAATGAACAAATCATACAATTAAAAATTATCATAATTATAAAAGACTTTGTTAATCATTTTGAAAAGTCAACTATGGTAGGAAAAAAGCAAAATCAATCTAATAGAAGTTTACCATACTTATTAAAAATTCATATTCATAATAAAACAATAATCACTTTTCCATAATAGCAAAACAGTTACCATAATAAGAAGTAACCCAAACAACTGATTATCATGTATATATTATTTATTTTTTTAACTTTATATATATGTTTTCATTAAGATTAAGATTTACAATTATGTCATTAAAATTTAATTTTATTTTGAATAAATTTCTCTTACTCAAATAATAACATGATAATTTCAATTACTATTAATTAATCGCATTCAAATATAACTTAAATCCTAAAATTAAAAGTAGGATGTTATAGATATAACTGAAAAACATGCTGCATTATTTAATTGGATTAATGGAGCAGTATAATTAAGAATAAGCATTATAAGAAATCCATTTAATGAAGGTTGGTGTGACTGAAAAAGATATAATTCACCATATTACATGTCATGGGTTGTCGTTAAAGCCAGTTGATTTAATATCATTGTTTAACTTTGACAAAGTTCAGGACTAAGTTGACAAAACTCAAGCACTCAACACAATATGATATTCATAAAATGCCTACAAGATTTTAATTTTATATATTGACGTCTAACTCAGACCAAAACAAGTATTAAATGAATCATATCAAAATTTTCCTAGGTAAAATCAAGATTCTTAATAGGAATTAATCTGAACTAAACCTTCTGGGAATAGACAAACGATAGTAGACAATAAGTTGGAAAGACGCGTAAGTATGGGAGAGAAGAAAGTGGATCTGACTCATTGTCAGTGAATAAAAAAGAAATTTATATTTTCTTTTTTAAAAAAAGCTATTAATAACATAAGATGACGATAAAGGAAAAAGAAAATCCCACTGTAAAATTGAAGATTAGAACAGATCCAACAAATAAATTAACAAAAAGAAAATGAAATGTTAGGAGGCAAAAGACAATAAACCTAATGACATGAAGACCCAAAACAAGAAGAAATAAAAGCAGAAAACTTGGGTGGATTTTAAAATATTAATGACTTTAAATAATTAGAGTTAGTTTTAGAATAAATACTATATAAAACATTCACATGTCTTGATTTAGTTGCACAATAATCTCAAGCGAAAAAAAGTTAAGTATGTAAGGATTTTCTAAAATGCCAAAGTAGAAAGCAAAATGAGAAGAGTACCAAAATAGACAGTGGAACAGAGATATGACCATATCACGTGGAATTACAGCAACTAAAATCTAAACAAACTTAGCATGTGGCAATAATTGATGTACTACTTTTGGTCCTTAATATAAGAGTTAGTTTAACTTTCAATTTGATTCTAAATATAATACCCTAATCTACTTTGTTTATCATATTTATTCTTTTCTTTTTCCAAATAAGTCACTATAGTAGTTACACATATTAAAGATTCAATCAAATGGTAGTTCTAAC